TATGTTTAATATAGAATTGCCGCTGCGCTTTTGTGTACTTGAAACGCGATACAACTAGGGACAAATACGTTTTTATAAGAAGAGCAAGTTTGTTGCTTAAGTCTTTAGTTACAAAAAACAAGTCTTTAAATTTTTATTGTTTTTTATTGTTTGAATTTCTTACTTCTAAAGTAAATTTATATGCCAAATCTTAATAATATTAAGCAGATTAAGCAACTGTGAAAGACAAACTGCAACTGAGCTAAACAAGTCACGTTTTAAACATCAAAAATTCGAGTAAGTCTCATATTGAGCTCGTCTTTGAATGGCGTTTGAGTTTTAATTTATTTTTAAAAAAATATTTATTTGACATTTGATTAAATTTTTACGAGTGATTGTTTTTTTTTTTGTTAAAAAAAACAATAATACATTTGAAAATTTTGTAATTAATTGAAATTCTAAAGAGCAGTGCAGGACGTAGATTCAGTCAGTCATTATTGGAATACTTTGTGTTACAATAACACCAACTTTTATTTTAAATGAAATTTCAGTTTTAAGGGTTGCCTGAAGATGCCTACGACTATAGTAAAATATCGGTAACAATAAAATACATTATTTCAAACTAATTTAAAAAGTTTTGTATCATTTAATATTCATCAATTATACAATATATAAACAATAAGTCATTAAAAGAAATTTATGATTGTTTTTTTTAAGTAAAAGTTTTCATTGTCCCGGAGACATTGACTTTTGCAATCACCTATATGTAACTTATTCCTTCTAACAATGACGTGAATATAGTCAACCAAGTATATATTTGTTTTACTAAAGGTAGGCTATATAAGGTATAAGTATGCGTCCAAGTAGACTATCTATGTACCCGATATGGTTCGTCAGAACTTTTTTAACAGATTATCCTCTTCTAGTACAATTGCCAGTATATTAGCTTTCATATTCAAGAGTAACTCTATCACTTTCGTAAATTATTTTTTTTTTAGTTGTGAATTGTATGATGTCAATATTTGATAGTCTCAAGACATAGAGAGAAAACTTTGTTCTCGAAAAATAACTTTCTAAGAGTTGTAGAACCATTTCTTGCTAAATACAGGCATTTATACAATAACTGAGGGCTGAATCATTCCTTTTTATTTTCTTGCTAAGGACCTAAACGATGGTCGCTTTGAAATCTCTGTCTAATTGTATATATGCAAATTAGATAACTCATGTTTAAATGAGATATAATATCACTGATTTCGGTTTTATCTAAGTTAATTACTTTTTTGGTTCAGAAAAGGTTATTATTATATTATTCCCTTAGTTAGTGTCACCGTTTTTGAAAAGATCATATAGTGCAAAAGTAATTTCTACATTCTGGTGTATCAATTTTTGCAATATATCGAAACTCTCTTCGTGATCTACTGGTTTTCGCGTGAATATATTTCAAACATATAGTTCCGGGTCTACAGGTTAATTAAAGCCTTAATTTTAGAGACATTTCCACAATGTTTGATTGATCCTGATCTCGAGATCCAACGGTTCGCTTGCGTTCATACTAAGAAGTAGATTAATAGACAACCAGATTATTATATTTTTAACGCAAGCGTTCCGATTTTATCATATAATTTGTATCTTTTTGAGGTAAACTAAAAGTAAAAACAAAACTTTGTAAAATTTGCTTTTATGAAAAGAATGAAGAAAAACTCAAATTTTGTTATGGCACAATGATTAAAATATTATTTTTAATTCAATAATGGCGCTTGCTTAATTGTTTCAACAACATACGCTGCTGATGCTGAAACACTTGGCTTCTACTAATCCGGATTGGTGACATATACTGGGGCGTAAATATTTTTGACACTTGAATTGGCATTTGATAAATTTATAACGTCTGCGGTAAAGGTATCACAAATTGTATTAAAGAAAACCCCTAATCGTACACAAATAAAACTTTACTTTGCATATAAATCAAGATACAAAATCAATCTGCCCCACAGGTAAGTCAGATAAGTCGGGTAAGTCAAGCAACTTGTTCGCATGCAACATTTACAAAAAGTTTAGCTTTTCTGATGTCTATAAAATGTCAGGAATGATTTAAATACTTGGGTTTGTTTGTTGTTTGCTTTTGTTTTGTAATTAATTCATTCAGCGTATAAACAATGGAACATTCAATATGTTTACTGTTGCATGCAAATTGGATATAGAAACTGTCAATACGATCATGCCGAGTTGACTGAGCATGACTCAATTTCCTAAAAAAAATAAATGCAGTAAAGACAAAAACTGGAGTGGGTGTGCAATTGCACGTTGCATAAAATTTGGTTTATATTTTTTCAATTTATTAAAAAATTTTCAGATGTTTTTGTATTTTTCTTTTTAGTAGTATGAAAGCATATAATACGCATACCATATCGAAAATATCTTTTTATTATTGAGCTATGCAAACATTAAAGTTAATGAATGAAAATGCCACACATTCATTATTTTTCGATCATTTTTCGAACAAATATTTATATAAGATAATTTTTTTGTTTCAGAATTTTTAGTGTTTTTTGTATATTAGTCATAAAACACGTGCATTTATAAGTGTACATACATTTATATATTTTATAATTACTTAAAAAATATATACAACAAAAGTTTAAGTCGTTTGCTGCCATACTCATTGTCAGTTGAAGTTGACAAATATATAGGATTAAAATAATTAATAAACATGTGGGATAAATATATAAATCAAATATTTTGTAATAGAATGATATTAAAGAAAAATAAAGAAATGTATATAGCTCTATTGATAGAAATTATAATACATTATTATTATGATATTAGTTTATAAGATCTATAACAGTTTTCTTTGCAATACACGTAAACTACTTACACTATATGTAGATCTAAATGATATTCGTCTTTTATTCTAATTTATAAAAATTCGTTCATCTAAAAATAGCCAAAGTCTCCACAAACCAATGTTATAATTAGTTTAAATTAATCTTATAACTATTACTGTAATGAATAAATTAGAAATTTCCTGTCCCATGACAACAAATCTATTTTGAGTAGAAAAGGATGGTAATTGTGGGAAAATTTTAAAAAATAATTGTTTAATCCAGTAAGTTCTTGCGCTGACCATAGATATGTTTCAGATATTGACACTATAAAATTAATAAATAAATGAAATCAATAAATTAATAAAATAATGAATTAATAAAATTAATAAACCAAAAATAATAAATAAATAAATATTAAGTTAGGGTATTTACAGACGATATGCGAGTACAATTTAATCATCAAATCAAAACTTAAAACAATAGAAAATGTAGTTAACATGAAACCTTTTTACAATTTACAGAACATAACATATACTATTGTTATTGTACCTCAGAAAGTAATACAGTATTATAATATAAAGGATATATATAAAATATCTACAATCTATGATTATAGTAGTAATCCCAAGTTGATCATTAGCTGCAGAAATCCCACATCTGAATGGCAACAAGTGCGAACAAAATAATACCAGTTCAGGAAAGATTTGATGGAAACCACTTGTAAACTTTGAAAGATAAACTCAAACCACTATTACAAGATCCTTTCCATCGGATATTCCCTTATCACACGATAATAAATTTTATGCAAAGTCCAAGTGCTTAATAGAATTTTAAAAACTTTTCACTAGATTTTAATTCTAATTCGAAGAACTTAATTGATTTAAACTTAGATTAATCATTGGTCTCTGCATCAGAAGCGTTCTTGTTAACTAGACCCTTTCAAACTTGATCGCTGACACCAGCAAGTTCTTTCAAATGGAAAATCAAACTTTCATTTCGTTTTATTTATCATTTCCTGAAATAATCAGGAAATGGATCTAGATGGAAGTAATCTGACTTTCATTTAACTGATAAAGATCCATACTTTATCGATTATGAGCGAACGAAGGAAGATTGTTAAACATCATTAACACTTTTTTAAGATTGTCAAGTTATTATTTACTAATAAACAAAATCTATATATCTAATAAAATGAAAATTATATAAAAGTATTCATTCAACGAATCTATGATCAATAAAATCAAAATAATATTAGCTATAAGTATATAATGTTCTATCATAGTTATTTACAAGTACTAATAAAGAAAATTTATATGTTTCATTTACTTATATATCTAGAAATTGTTTTTCATTGTTTCATTGTTTCAGTCAATTCATTTTTATGACTAATTTAAGAATTGCCTTATTTTTAGTGTAATTATAAATTATTTTAATTGAAGTGCCTTACTTCGTAGGTGTATTTCAACAATTAAGCATATTTAATTATTAATATACAATAATATTATATTTAAATTTGCGTATTAAAACGCACAACGCATTGCTTAAATGTATTAACCCCACTTCATTCAAGATTTAAATTGATAAAATAATCTTAAAAAAAATTAAGTTTGTATTTGACGCCAATTCAGATTAATACGCAAATTTTTATGAAAGTTTAAGATTCAAAAATAAATTTAAAGTAGATGTAGGTGTTTTTAATAATTGTACTTTTCAGTTGAATTATTACATTACTTTAGGTTAGAATTTTATTAGTGTAAACGTTGCTGATTCAATTATTAATCAAATGCCATTTTTATTTTTTCAATCACGTTTATAATTTAAAAATGATCAAATCTGAATATTGACACTATTTATTATAGATATTTTCCAGTATTGGCTGCTATATGTAAGTAATTTTTTCTACGAAATATATTTTATTGTTATAGTTATTTAATTCTATATATTTATATATTATATTATTATAATAGTAATTTAATTTATTATTTAATTTTAATTATTTAATAGTTTATTTAAAACAACTTGTATCTTGAATTGCAGATTAACAGTTTGGAAGTCACTGTTTACTATTTTTGTCGCTTGCCTGCTGATAAGTAAACATTTATGTTGCATACTTTGCGGTTTGTATTTTATAAACTTGTTTAGCATATATTTTAGCTTATTTTAATTTATTAAAACCACATATCAATATTAACTCACCTTATCATTGGTCTCTTCGAGTTCTAGAATACGAAATTCTAGAAGTTCATTCTGTTCACGTAACTCATTTGTTTCAGTTTGCAGTTGATATTCTTGTTCTTCCAGTAATTTAATGCGTTCCATGAGCTGTTTCACTCTTGGACTGTTATTGGCCTAAAATTAATAATATAAAATTTTTGAATCATTTCTAAAAAGTTGATGGCGAAAATAGGTTTAAAAAATCCACAATATAGCTTAAAGAACTAAATAAATGTTATTATAGGTGAAATAATAATGAACTAATAGAACATTAACTTGAAAACTGATAAAACAATTAGTAAGTATATACATAAATTAGCTAAATCAGTAAATAAATGTAAAAACCATCTTTAAGCAAGCAGAGATTGGAATATGTTGGTAATATAATAATACGGCAAATGACGAATTAAATAATAAAATTTTCATCAGTATTCAATCATAGCAGAGCCGGATGACCATTAAGAAAATTGCCTGATGGAGGGAACAGTGCCTTATCAAGAATAAGAACATGTAATTGAAAAAGAGTTAATGATTAGTAAGAATAAGAGGCTATCGTGGGATAGACTTGGGTTTTTTAAAGACTATTTAACATACGATAGTGCAAACAATATTTAAATAATAAATATAAAAATGTGCAACATGAGTGAATTGCAACAACAAAATTTTGTATTTAATTAATTTAATTTTTTGTTTTCTTTTGTAATATAATTTATTGCGACGAAAAAGGTGATTTACATTTAATCTATTTTGTACATATTTTGAAATGGCTTTGATATATAAAAAAATCGGAACTATAAAAATTATTTAATGAGAATATAAATTTTTTGGAAAATTATAAGAAACGAAATACTTTTGAAATTTTGACAATTGTGGAACTTTTTTACTATATGAATTCAGTTTTCCTAAATACAATTTAAATTCGATAATATTATAAGTATTGAAAGTGTTATCCTAAAATTACGAAAATAAAAAGAACTTCAATTTATAGGCCATTTGTAGTACAATTACAATTATACAAAAAAAACCAATTAGCCCGTTAATTATCATTAAAAAAACACCCACAAACAGATGAAATAAAATTAGGACCAATCTCTTGTTATCGTTTTATGGGAAAATTATACATACAACAGGAACAGTAAAAATACTAATAGTAGATAAGCAAAAATATCTTATCTAAAGATAAGATAACAGCTATATAAAGCCGTGACGTTGTAATTTTAAAAAACAATATACATAAAATTTCAAAACTTTATCTAATTACATCTGAATATCTCCTCTTCATTTACCTGAGTCATTTGTTTAATAAAAAGTTATTGCAAATTTACAATATGATGTAATTACAATGGTTACAGCACAGCTGAACATGTGAAATATAAATTTTTTCAATTTACTTAGTGAGGGCTTCTCAGGCCTATTAATGAATTCGGCCCATTAAACTTAACTTCTAAACTCATTACCGCGCCATACAAAGTGAATAATGCAAGTAGCGTAAAGATGGATATAATAAATAGGATATCTAGCTCATAGCCAAATAAGAGAGCTCTAGTGGGATGTATTTGATATTTTCGACTTAAAAGTTTATCAAAGGTGTATTATCTGTACACCAAAAATGTGCAGTTAAAGGCAGATATCATATGATTGTGTTCTTGTAAGGTATATTCACGAAAATATACAAGTACAGTATATATTCGGGCTGTAGCATAAAGAAGTTTAGCTGACATTAGGTCCGATAATCTATTCGATGGGAAAAAAGCACTGCCCAAGGAACAAAATACAGGCTAAAGTTCACTCCAAGAACTGTAGAAACAAATGATAATAATAAAAAAAAAACGCTCTTTACTTATAAAAATAATTAAAAATTATATGTCTGTGTTATATTTATGTTATATGACACACAATTCTATCTTAGCTTTTTATTCTATCTTAGAATTTTAAATAAAAATAATCTTACCTCTATTGCAGTCTTTTCGTTTTCTAAAATTTGTTGCTTTGCTAAATTTAATTCCGTTTCCAGATGTTTATTATCCTTTTGTAGTATTTCAATTTCTTTTTGTAATTTTTCAATGTCTGTTGTGTAGGTGCGTATCTAAAAAAGAAACCAAAGGAAATATAGTATTTCATTAAAACAGCAATTTATTATTTTTACATTTTAAATGCAGCATCTGTATTATTTAACATTAGAGCACAAGCTAACGAAAGTCATGGACCTATTCCAGACTCATAAACTATTTTCATACGAGTTTGTACTTAGTGAAGCAACATATTAACCGCATTTGCAGTCTCAGCAGAGAACAAAAGAAGAGAACAAAATAATAGCGTAGCAAATTTGCAGTGATGCCTGTGCTGGTTCCATTTCTGTTTGAAGTTCATTAACGATTGGCAATAAAAATCGCCATTAGCATGGCTTAAAGCCTGGCTTTAACACAAAACCAAAATTATTATTATTGCAGCACTTTAGCTATGCTTTGTCGGCAGAAATAACAAAATCTCCAAAGGTCCTTATATGAAACACTGAAGAGACAGAGAGGCACATAAAATACAACGTCTGTCTTCTTGTAGGGTAACACAAGTTTTTCTTTAAATAATTTTTAACTATTTTTTATTAAACTTTCAACTACAAAATTTCAAAATAAAATTAATAAAAACAAAAAGTTTCAAAGTATTTAACATATAAAGGCAGAAAAGTAGTAGCGGCAACACACGACTTCAGCAATTGTTTGCAATGCAACATTTTCCAGTTGCACATACTAGTCTATGCCACAAGGGACATAGAGTTTAGCCAATTGTCAAGTCATGGGGGCGCATTGTTTTGTCCCTGAAAAAATGGAATGACATAGCATAAAATAGCATTAAACTGAAAAATATTTCTTGCACTTTATATTTTTTCTTTTAGTTTTGTGATCGTCGGACTTGTGGCTTATGTGTGTCATTGAGTTAAGTGTATTGTTTGAACATGCAATACATGATCTGCAAATATGTGGCATATGCATGCAATATAGCAGCAAATGCAAACGAATCTAAATACAATAAGGAACCAAAAACAACTGCATTGACTCTCTTATTTCTTAATATGCAGTAGCCCCACAATCATTATCGATTGGTAAACTGTATTAAAAAGAATATTTTATTTAAATCATCGACACAAAAAACAAGAGTCATTATCAAAAAAAAACTAGGGCATTGCAATCTATTCACAATAACATAGAGAAGCCAGGGACTTGAGTGAAATAAAATGCTTTCACTAATTTTATAAAACAAAGTCTTAAGTCTTAATAGCTGCACAGAAATATGACAAGACGGATGAATCACATATGTATAGTTTTTGATATTGTTACCTAGCGGTGTTCTACCAGTTTGAAGGAAAGAAAACGGTAAGCAGAAAGTACATTTACTCTTCCATGTTAGCGGTGATGGAAATGAAATGAGGAAAAAAAATTAAATGGGGGAATAACATAAAGAATCTGTGAGGAGTGAGGGACGGAATAGAACAATTGAGACTAACTTGTATCAAGTGCCTGAAACATTGAGAGTAACTTGTATCATTATCATATGGATTAAATGGAACCACAGTTCAATTGTACAGGCAAGTGTCGTAAAAAAATGGAGAATATAACTAGAGAAATCTTTTTAATTTTAGCTATAAGACAAATATACAGAATAACAAAAAATAGAAATTCAGTTGTGTTTAGAGCTTGGCTATATTTTAATCTTAGGGGAATCAGTACAATTCTTGGTGTAAAGGGAATTCATTTTACTTTCTTGTGAGTGTCAAGTATGTCTGTTTAGATAGTTGTAATAGGATAATTGTAATAGCCATGGACGGTATTCGATTACACGCATTGCATACAATAATATATTAAGAACCTATGAAGGTCATATTTATCTCCCAAAAGTTTAGGCGACAAAATTATAAAAATCGAAATATATTTCCATATATTTAAGTATAACCTGTTTTTCGAGAAATTTTACTTAACCGGTTCATATTCATAATCATATAGTTTAATGATATTTATTTAAAATAACACAATATTACATTAATTATTTTCTTTTACGATCTTTACATATAATTTATATCTGCAATAATTAAGTATAAAATTGTATATAATGTAGATTAATATTCAAATATCTTTCTAAGCATGAATTTATATAAACAACTTGCCGATTTTGTCCTAACTTTATTTAATTTAATATTTTTTCATATAACAACTACTCGCTTGTACCTGAATTATAAAAAAAATTATTGTTTAACTTACCGTTTGCCATATATCAGTTGTATCCATGCCCGCTGGTGGCGGTTGTGGACTGATTGATGGCGGTGCTGATGATAATGCTGAATCAGAATCTGAATTATTATCCTAAGGAATAAAAAAATGTATATACATTAAAATATATTATATTAATTATATATATGAAACAACTTACTTTAGCCCGAAATTCATTAACATCATCTCTTTGTGTTTTTGTACAAATGTTATCTGTCGTCGTTGTTGTTATTGTTGTTGTTGCCGCCGTTGTTGTACTAAGCAAACGTTCTGAGATATCATGCGGCAATGAATGATATTCATTTTGTTGTTGATGTTGATGTCCACAATTTGTTGTGGCATTTGTTAAATTTAATAAATTGTTGATATTTTCAACATGTGTTGTTGTTTTGTAATTTTCACATGATATGTTTTTATTATTTTGTGTACTTGTAAATAATTTTGGTGTTTTAAAATTAATATTACTTTGTAGATTTTTTGTATTGTTTATAAGCTCAATATCCTTGAGTTGTTTCATCTGTAAAAAATAAAATAAAAATTTCATCACATAAGTTATTAAAATTACTTTTTATATACAACAAAGTTCTAATTAAAATTTTCTTTTAATGAACACTAATATTTAATTTATAATTTCATTATATATAGCCCCCCCTTTGCTCTATTCAAAATAGTTAATTTTGTTTAAATTTTAACACTCTCTTTTGATATTTAAAATGATCTGTCTAAACTCTTTCATATATTAAGAAATTGCAATCCTATCAATAAATTAATAATTTTATTTTTATATATAAAACGATTTATATATAAACCAAGTTACAACTATAAAACCACTATCTTGACCCGCAAAAAAGTTAATTTTAATGTTTATTTCAATAACTTTATATTTCAATGTTTTCAATTCTTATTTTATTGGTTTTTATTTTTTAATTATGTGATAATGCTTAATAATTATTTTGTAATAATATGTTTAGAACTAAAATGTTCTAAATTATTTAACATATTTTTTTTGCTGTGTGACACACATAGATCACTGACTCGAGTTTTTGGAAATCTTAATAAGTCACGAAATCTTATTTTTGTTATTATCACAAAAAAAAAAATATAGTAATTTTTAAGTTATTTTTATTTTAGGTTTATGTAAAATTTTATGTATTTTTTAATGTTTATGGGTTATTTAAATATATTATTTAATTGTTTTAATTGCACATAATTTTAAAATTTGCTTTTTATTTATATAAAATATACAAAACTATTTTAAATAGTTTTGGTTTTCATAGTTTCAATCTTTCGCTCTTTAATATACATTAATTAATAATCAATAATATATAATTATAATTACATGTTAACCAATATTATTTTATTGTAAATTGATGTGATATAGAAAAAATATGTGTTTTACCGATTTAAGATAATAAATTTTTATTTTATGTTGCAATAATAAACTAAATAACACAATTGCAAAGTTAAAAGGATATATTATAATAAATGGTAAAAGGAAGTTAAATTTATAAATTTACACAAGGAAGAAGCAGGAGGAATTATTTGGAAATATACAGGAATAAGTACTACTCAATACCACTTTATTATATGCTATAATAATATTAATCACCAAGATATTTCGAATTACAAATTTCAAAAATATAAATCTCCTATAGGTTTATTTCTATATTTATCATGAAACTAGTAATGAAGAAAATATCTTGAATAATGACAGCTAAATTATTGTATCATGTACAAAAAACACCAATATTTGATAATTAACTTTTGCTTAGCACATAAGGTTTTCAGGACACCGCTTGAAATGTGCTTTTCTTCTTCAAAGTCCCTTCTTCAAAATTTGGTGTGAAAATCATAAAAGTTGGATAAGAATTACGCTTGCAACATATCAAAAAAATATGAATATTTATACCATTAAAATATCTATATTTATATCTTTAAAATTATATACGATATTTGAATTCTCTAAAAAAATTTGATAATCTCTCTTCCATAATCTCAAATAATTCTTTAACTCTCATACGTCACAGTTTTCAATTACAAAAATAATATTTGGTAGACCCCGGTGAGTAGGTCATCTTATATAACTGAAGAGGAATCTGCTTAGAAAACAATATTGTGGCAAGTTTTGTGGTAAGTAATGGTAAGGCAGACCATGCGTGTGCTGGAAAGATTACGTACCTACCTATGAAAAAACTTGTAAAAATTGGCTACAGATTGTAGTGCTGATAACGATGAATTACCATATACTGCATTATATATTTTTAGAAAATAATTATTTAATTATCACTTTACTTTATCGATTCGTACGTTCAGTACATTTTTTTTACAATAATTGATGAAGAGCTAAAATAAAATGTTAGTAACTTAAAAATTTTTTATTAAAAAAAATTATTATTATTCTCTTATTTATTCTAAAATATATTTCATTATTTATGCAACGCTAAAAACTTGCGGTAATTAAGTTTGAATGTAACTTTGATCAGTCGGTGGACATTAATAAATTTGGACGGTGGTATTGTTGGAACTATTAGAATTCTAAATTTTTACATGAGATACTAGGTCAGTTTTATTTTTATTTTAAAACAAAAAAAAAAATTGACAATTTTTTGGTCATTAAATAAAACTGTTAAAATTATTAATAAAAATTATTAATATTTAGAAAATATTGCAATATATGAAAAATAAACTTATTACATATAAAAATGATGCTACCTTGTGCTACTTTATCTCAAATATACTACGAATAACAAGTGTTTATTTTAAAAACTATAGATGTACTGCTTACATCACTTTAGTGTGATTTTGCTATTCATAACTATTACAAAAATGGTGAAATTATTAAAAACGAAATGATTACTTAAAACACCTACGCATTTTTTCTACGATTTACAATTAATAAAAATCAAATAATTATAACAAATCATGTTTTTACCTTAAATACTATTACATTTTTGTTTTTAATTTTTATATATTTATTTTTTTTAAATGATATAAGTTTTTATTTATTTTGCTTTCTACTAAAAATGTATTAAAATACTTAATATTCATTATTTTTAAATAGTTTGTACTGACTTTGCATAATTTATATTATTATTAAGATTGAAGGTCAAATCAAATTTTTTTTTTATATAAATTATATATAAAAATAAACTTCGACTTTTTTACAAAAATATTCAAATATTGCATGTAATGCAGTAAAATAATAAATGTTTAATAATAATAATAATAAATTGTTAACATTAAACCAACAAAATAAAATTTATATTGAAGATAAAATATTATAAAAATTAAGCTTTTTCAAAATAAAAAAATTTAATTCATAAAAATAATTCACAAATATATACTAATAATATAAAAAAAAATACCTATTTTATTATATTCGTAACAAATTTAATTAACAAAAACAATATTATGTTAACATTCATGCTATAAATTATTATATATTGTTATATTTACATTTAAAGCTTCATCGGTTGATATAGTTTAACTCTTTGAAATTACTGTTCAAATGGCAGTAATGTTACTTGACCCTAATATGTCCATTACAGCAAATAAACGACAAAAACGAAACGCTATATTTACAACAATAACAACAAATATAAAAAATATAACATATCTGTACTTGTTATTATATTTAAATTTTCGCTTTTTTATTTTATATTAAAATACAATGTTACAAAGATCTTTAACTTAAAGGTGAAATTAGTGGATTGGATTGGGTTGGGTTGTGCTATTTTGGTTTATAATTGCCCTGACGGTCATTTATTTTATGCCAATATCATCAATGGACTTCACAGACTTTACAAAAAAAAATATAATGCAAAGAAATGTGTTAAATAAACTTCAAGAAGAAAAAGTAAATAACAACCGTGAACAACTGCAAAAGTCAACAAGAAGTTGTAATTTATGTTTAATTACAAAAATTTGTATCTTGCCGCTAATTATAAGCAACTTAGCACACAATTTATTGTAAGTTCCAAGCTTCCAAGCAAAAAAATACACAAAAAAAAGCCGAAAGATATAAAAATAGGTGTGCAAAATGAGATTTAATAACTTAATTTAGCACAAAAATTGTTAAAGTGAAAGAAGTTAAAATGAAGGAAAATACAGAAAATACAGAAAATAAAAACCCATATAAATACTATCAGATGAATTACAATGCCAAGAAGTGTAAAACACAGATAAAAAAAATTCAAAATAATAAAAGCTGATGTGAGTAATTTCAGTAAATTTAGAGAAAGACAAATTTTCTACTAAATTAAATGTGTTAATTTAAAATAAAAATAAATATATTTAAAAAATTCATACATGACAAATGTTACTTTTAAATTATAAGGTCAAAAATAATATAATATTTTAAAGCAATCATGAAAAACGTGTAACAGTGGTATAACCCTTATATTAAATGTAGTTTACAGAGCATAACTATTCTATATAATAATAAATTTTACATTGATATAATTTATTTAACACAAAATTTTTAGTTAAAAAAAGATAGAAATTTGTTTTTTATTATTTCAGAATGATGTTTTTAAACTAAAAAAGTCGAGATGACCACTTACTAACCATACCACCTACTAATGCACAAACAGATATTAATATAAAAATAATATTGAATTTAATTTGACAAAAAAATGATATCATTATATCGATAAAACTGTAAGTATTGTATTGAAATGTTGATTTCTGTACGTATAAACATAAGAAACTAAAATAATTGGAATTGTTTAGAGACTTAATACAAGAATTTATATAGCTGTGGTTTACGCGTTAATACAGCAAGTACAATTGTTGCTTATTCGTAAAAAACAAAAATTGTAAATTTCCATGATTCAAAATAGACAGGCTGCAATTACTGACACTTGATGTTCAAAGATTATATAAGGAAAACTGAACCAATAGATGTTCTCAAAGATTTACTAATAGAGATTACTTGATAGTTTTCGAAAAAGCTATATGATTAGTCCACTAATGATAGTTACTCTTAATAAATAATAAACTAATTAGGCAAAGTAGGCAATGACTCTCTTTTTAAAATGACAGTCTTAAGTAACTTCAGATAAAAAAAATTTTACTTTTTAGAAAAACAAAAAATAAATAAATAAACCAGATTTAGTTTTGGGTAATATGTTTTATGTTTTGTTAATATGTTTTTTAGTTATTACCTATATTATTAATTTTGAATATTTTGAAATGAAGTATTGAGCATGCTGTCTTTAGCATCAGAAATTGTTACAATGGTATAAACCGTTTCCAAGGGTGATGCTTTATGAATATTTGAAAATTTGCAATAAGATACAATTAATTATTTATTTTATTACTATTAAACTCAACTCTTTTAGTTCTTGCTTAATTATAACTTTTACAT